ATTTTTTTTTGCATGTCGCCTTTAAATCTATTGTTTCATTTTGGTGTAAAATAAGAAAATACCCATTGTTCCCTAACAAATACCTGAGAATATATTGAATGTAGTCAGAGAAGTAGCTCGATTAAATGAATCTAGTAATGATTGTGAAGTCGGCTCTGTGGCTAAGTCGATGCAAACGCTTCGTAATGCCGTGGTGCTGGTTTCGATCCCAGCTGCGGGCCATGCGCCTTGCGTTGGTTTCGACAGTGATATCAGGGGGCCGACCGTCCAGAAAGCAATGTCAAACTACTGGACGTAACTTTGCCTAGAGAATACACACAACAGCCAGGGGCTGCTGGAGTTGGTTCTGCAACGTCCAGTAAGGATACGCAACTAACCTAATGATCGTGAATCTAAAACACTGACAAGACTACACAAACATAACATCAAAAGGGGTGAAGGCAGACAAGAGCGCATTACAAGGGCCCAAAGAAGAATTATAAAGTAACTCAGAACTGGTGTCATATGCTGAGGGAGATACTGACGAGGCGATCTGAACACTTATGGACTGAATGATTCGATGTGCAAGGATGATAATCTGTCGACTAACTAACTAACTAAATGTCTGAGAAAATGGATGTGCATATTGAATTGGGGGGGGGGGGGGGGGTGGTGGTGGTGAATTCAAGAAAGGAGAAGAGATACGAGAAATGTGTGGGCAGCCACTAGTATCCACATTCTGTGGAGAATCACCAGACAGCCACTAGTATCCACATTCTGTGGAGAATCACCAGACAGCCACTAGTATCCACATTCTGTGGAGAATCACCAGACAGCCACTAGTATCCACATTCTGTGGAGAATCACCAGACAGCCACTAGTATCCACATTCTGTGGAGAATCACCAGACAGCCACTTGTATCCACATTCTGCGGAGAATCACCAGACAGCCACTAGTATCCACAGAAGACAAAGAAGACTTTGATATGTTGGGTACATTCTGTGTAGAAACGAACTGAGAATCACCAGACAGACACTGAAATGAGACACTAATTGATAGTAGAGAAAATCAAAAATAAACAAAGATGACAGAAGCCAAGAGTACTGGACCAGAAGTGGATGAGCAACAAGATCCCCCCTCCCTCCCCCCCCCCCCGAGTTTATAGCCAATGAATGCACAAAAGAAGTACAGGATGGCTGGGAATTGAAGAACAGCCTGCGAGCTCTGTGTGACAGATCTATGTGACTTGTGTGACAGCGTTATGTCACAGCTCTATGTGACAGCTCTGTGTGACAGCGTTATGTGACAGATCTATGTGACAGCTCCGTGTGACAGCTACATGTGAAAAACACCGTGTGACAGTTCTATTTGACAGTTTTATGTGACGGTTCTATGTGACAGTTATATGTGACAGCTGTTGTTGATGCATGGTTGGCTGTTGGTTGGTAGTAACTGATTTTTCTGGGGGATAGTTGATTTATTAATTAATTGGTGGGCAGTTGACTGATTGATTTGTTGGTGGTTAATTTATTAAATGATTTGTTGGCAGTTGATGATTGTTTGATTTGTTAGTGTAGTGGGTAGTTGACTGATTGATTTGTTGGTGGTTAGTTTATTGAATGATTTGTTGGTAGTTGATGATTGTTTGATTTGTTAGTGTAGTGGATAGTTGACTGATTGATTTGTTGGTGGTTAGTTTATTGAATGATTTGTTGGTAGTTGATGATTGTTTGATTTGTTAGTGTAGTGGATAGTTGACTGATTGATTTGTTGGTGGTTAGTTTATTGTATGATTTGTTGGTAGTTGATGATTGTTTGATTTGTTAGTATAGTGCGTAGTTGACTGATTGATTTGTTGGTGGGTAGTTGATTGACTGATTTGTTGGTGGGTAGTTGATTAATTGATTTGTTGGTGGGTAGTTGACTTGATGGTGTATGTTTGACTGATTAATTTGTTGGTGAGTAGCTGAAAGAATAATTTATCTATTGATGGAGCCTGGCTGATTTATAGGTGAATAGTGTAGTTGGCTAACTAGTTAATTGATTTGTTGATTGATTGACAGGCCGTTTACAGACTTGTTGATTGGTTGGTGGTGGATTGGTTGGCTGCTGTGTGATTGACTGATTAGCTGATTCAAATGTTTGTTGATTTGACTGATTTATGGTTGTTGGCTATCAAGTTAGCTCATTGACTGATTTAGTGGTTAGATAAATTACTGACTGGTTGACTGACTGGTGGTTGATTGATTGAATGGTTAATTAATTGATTTGTTGATTGGGTGGGTGATTGGTGATTTATTGTTTAGTTAGAAGATCAATGTAGGTCTAATTTCCAGCTCTTGAATCAAATGCACTTACACTCAAGCTGAGTCCTGACAATTGCCACTGAGGTATTTTCCTACATGCAGAGGTTGTTCTCTTGATTGGCTACTAAAGCTGCTCTTCTTTCAGTAAAGTAACCAGCCTGCCTTTTAAGACCCGTATCTTAACTTGTCCCCACGGTTACCAGATTTTTCTTGTAGTGTAAAAACTCAGAACAGCCCATGCTATGAAACAAACCAGGATTGTATCTCACAGAGATAGATGCAGTACCTTAAAGCTGCTCCACCCTAGTGATCTTTATGGTTATTGAGCGTTTCACAAATTGATTAGTAAAGTCAGCTTTAACATCAACTTAATTTAAACTTTAAGTACTGATGATACTCTAATCACATAAATAAACAGAAGACAGTGCGATCACACAGAAAACTAAGTAACCGCTTAATAAACCAACAACAAAGTTACAACATAAATAAACAGAAGACATTGCGATCATGCAGAAAACTAAGTAACCGCTTAATAAACCAACAACAAAGTTACAACATAAATAAACAGAAGACATTGCGATCATGCAGAAAACTAAGTAACCGCTTAATAAACCAACAACAAAGTTACAACATAAATAAACAGAAGACATTGCGATCACACAGAAAACTAAGTAACCACTTAATAAACCAACAACAAGGTTACAACATAAATAAACAGAAGACAGTGCGATCACATAGAAAACAAAGTGACCACTTAATAAACAGATGACAAAGTTACAACAAAAATAAACAGAAGACATTGCGATCACATAGAAAACCAAGTGACCACTTAGTAAACAGATGACAAAGTTACAACAAAAATAAACAGAAGACAGAGTGACCACATAGAAAACAAAGTGACCACTTAATAAACAGGTGACAAAGTTACAACAAAATAAACAGAAGACAGAGTTATCCGACAGATAAACAAATAACAAAGTCACCTTACAAGTAAACAGATGGCAAATTTGACCTACTCCGGTGGGGAAAAAACAAGAAAATGAATCTGAATTCAATTATGTTTATTTTCATAAAAAGTCACATAAAAGTAAAACCATCAGAGTTACATGTGGCTAATCACATAACAAATGTTAATCACATGAAAAATTTCAATCACACAACACATGTCATTACACACCTGGGTCCTGGACCATATCACTCAAATCCTGGACTATATCACTCAAATCCTGGACCATATCACTCAAGTCCTGGACTATATCACTCAAGTCCTGGACTATATCACTCAAATCCTGGACTATATCACTCAAATCCTGGACTATATCACTCAAATCCTGGACCATATCACTCAAGTCCTGGACTATATCACTCAAGTCCCAGACTATCACTCAAATCCTGGACTATATCACTCAGATCCTAGACTATATCACTCAAGTCCTAGACTATATCACGCACGTCTTGGACTATATCACGCAAGCCCTGGACTATATCACACAAGCCCTAGACTATATCACTCAAGTCCTGGACTATATCACTGAAGTCCCGGACCATATCACTCAAGTCCTGGACTATATCATTCAAGCCCTGGACCATATCACTCAAGCCCTGGACCATATCACTCAAGCCCTGGACCATATCACTCAAGACCCAGACCATATCACTTAAGTCCTAGACTATATCATTCAAGCCCTGGACTATATCACTCAAGCCCTGGACTATATCACTCAAATCCTGGACCATATCACTTAAGTCCTGGACTATATCACTCAAGCCCTGGACTATATATCACTCAAGTCCTGGACTATATATCACTCAAGTCCTGGACTATATCACTCAAGTCCTGGACTATATCACTCAAGTCCTGGACTATATCATTCAAGCCCTGGACCATATCACTCAAGCCCTGGACCATATCACTCAAGCCCTGGACCATATCACTCAAGACCCAGACCATATCACTTAAGTCCTAGACTATATCATTCAAGCCCTGGACTATATCACTCAAGCCCTGGACTATATCACTCAAATCCTGGACCATATCACTTAAGTCCTGGACTATATCACTCAAGCCCTGGACTATATATCACTCAAGTCCTGGACTATATATCACTCAAGTCCTGGACTATATCACTCAAGTCCTGGACTATATCACTCAAGTCCTGGACTATATCACTCAAGTCCTGGACTATATCACTCAAGTCCTGGACCATATCACTCAAGTCCTGGACTATATCACTCGAGTCCTGGACTATATCACTCAAGTCTTGGACTATATCACTCAAATCCTGGACCATATCACTCGTCCTGGACTATATCACTCAAGTCCTGGACCATATCACTCAAGTCCTGGACTATATCACTCAAGTCCTGGACTATATCACTCAAGTCCTGGACTATATCACTCAAGTCCTGGACTATATCACTCAAGTTCTGGACTATATCACTCAAATCCTGGACCATATCACTTAAGTCCTGGACTATATCACTCAAGCCCTGGACTATATATCACTCAAGCCCTGGACTATATATCACTCGAGTCCTGGACTATATCACTCAAGTCCTGGACTATATCACTCAAGTCCTGGACTATATCACTCAAGTCCTGGACTATATCACTCAAGTCCTGGACCATATCACTCAAGTCCTGGACTATATCACTCGAGTCCTGGACTATATCACTCAAGTCTTGGACTATATCACTCAAATCCTGGACCATATCACTCGTCCTGGACTATATCACTCAAGTCCTGGACCATATCACTCAAGTCCTGGACTATATCACTCAAGTCCTGGACTATATCACTCAAGTCCTGGACTATATCACTCAAGTCCTGGACTATATCACTCAAGTCCTGGACTATATCACTCAAATCCTGGACCATATCACTCAAGTCCTGGACTATATCACTCAAGTCCTGGACTATATCTCTCAAGTCCTGGACTATATCACTCAAGTCCTGGACCATATCACTCAAATCCTGGACTGTATCACTCAGATCCTGGACCATATCACTCAAGTCCTGGACTATATCACTCAAATCCTGGACTATATCACTCAAGTCCTGGACTATATCACTCAAATCCTGGACTATATCACTAAAATCCTGGACTATATCACTCGTCCTGGACTATATCACTCAAATCCTGGACTATATCACTCAAGTCCTGGACTATAACACTCAAGTCCTGGATTATATCACTCAAATCCTGGACTATATCACTCAAATCCTGGACTATATCAATCAAGTCCTGGACTATAACACTCAAGTCCTGAATTATATCACTCAAATCCTGGACAGTACACAAGCAATAATAGACATAAGTTTAAAAATTAAAACAATAATAAAATCAGACAGCAACATCAAACATTGACATCAGACAACCATATCAGCAGACAACAAGAAACAGCTCAAAGCTTAAACAAAAGTAAAACCTTTTTGGTGTCAATCTGTACTATGTGACCCCTAACAGAAGGTCAAGGCTAAGAACTTGAGACAGAACAGCAGACAGCAGTCAGTATTTTGTCATAATATAACTAGAAGGTGCTGGCACTGGAACCCAAGGAGTCAATGAAATAAAGGGAGATCTAAATGCACACTGAGCAAAAGAACTAGAGACTGCAGTGAAAAAGATAGAGAAGACAGGGTGAATTGTATGAAATGGTGAATGACAAGATGACTGTGAGAGCTGGTTAAGGGCCTATGATCCACAGAGAGGTTAGGGATGGAAGTAGAAAACAAAACTCACTGAGTCAAATATGTTTTGCCAAGTATTTCAATGGCTGGCTGTTAAACTATTTTAAATCCAAAAATGTCATGCCAGAAATTTCATGTCTTAAATTTCCCATCTAATAATGTATAAAAATGTCCTTGTTTAGTTGCTAAAATCCAGTGAATCAAGACTCCGCCTTTGACAGCACTAAATTCTCTGACCACACAGGAGTAGTTTGTGGTTTCTTGTGGCACTTCATGTGAGCATTCCGACTTTTGACCTTGGCAAATACCCTGGAGAAGAGACAAGCAAATATGTCAAAGATCTAGACACAATTATATAATCAGACTGTTACTGATAAACTCGGAATTCGAATTCAAGATTGAGTGAAACCTGTGCTGTTTGGCTGTCTTTCATCTCAGGAATTCTTCTTCTTCATCTTCTTCTTCTTTTGCTTCATCTTCTTCTTCATAGCATTCACCAGCCGTAAACTCTGCTGGAAAGTTCTGGTTGTTCGTCCACTGCTGGACTTTAGTCTTGTTCCAGAACCTGGAGTTTTGTACACATGTCCATTTTTACAACATTAGAATGGCACTGCGAGGAGTTACCAGGGGATCTGGCCGACGCTCAACACTCATGGAAAGGGCAAGAGGGATACACAGTTAGACAGTTACTTTTGCCATCAGAATTGGAACTCTTTGCTTGCTGCTGAAGATGAGGCCAGAGCACTTATGGGAGTGTCCTGAGTGCTATGATGTCGATTCTCAATTCAACATTCCATAGATCTGTTAACTGTAAGCAATCTGTTGGTTTCTTGTCTCTCAGGCAGACAAGCTCTGACTCTGGAGGAAAAGTCCCTAATGAGTCACCTTTTATGACATTCTTGATAGGGAGGCAGTGGGTCAAATCCCCGCTGCCTCCCTCCAATGGAGCCCTGGAACCCACACGGAGAATTCTCAGAAATAACAAAACAAACTAAACCACCCATAGTACCATTTTTAGGACACTGTAAGACAGGAGGGTCTTAAGCTGGAGGATTTAGTAGCCCATGGCTAGTGCTGTCACCACGGACTGTCATGGTTAGGATTTATTTTTGCACCCGAGGAAAACTACGTAATCCATCACATTACTCATATTCCAACCTGGATCTTGTGCACGACAGTCTGTGTTCTAACTACTCAGGCAGCCACTCCTCATTTCTCATCAATGATTATAGATCATTTGTTATCTCAGGCTCTTAATCCTGTCTGCTCTAGACAATTAGATTATTGACTCATCTCTGTTTTAGTCAACGAGTCGAACTCTCCTGTTCTGGAATTTTGTTTCCTTTCTTTTTTCTTCCCCACACATACTTTTATAGTAACGCTTAGTGGCCCATACATTTAGCACTGCAGCAAGAGAAGGTGGGAGGGGGAGGGAGAGGAGAATGGTGGAGACAAGAATGGGTGAGGAGAGGAGGATGCAGAAGTAAAAAAGAGGATGGGGGAGGAGAGGGGAAAAGAATATGAGAGAGGCGAGGGCACAGTATGGTCAGAGGAGGACAGGAAAGCAGATCAGTGGAGAGGAGGTGGTAAGAGATGGAAAAGGTAAATGAGGAGAGAAGATGGGAGAGAAGTATGGGAGAGGAGAAGAAAGTAAAGAATGGGGGACGGATAGGGAAGAAGTGGATGGAGCAGAAGTGGGAAGGGAAGGACAAAGGAAGAGAGGAGAGTGGAGGAAGTGGAAGAAATGAGGTGAGGATGATGAGAGGGGAGAAGAGGATGGGGGGAGGAGAGTGAAGAAAAAACAGGAGAAAAAGAAAACAGAGAATGGATGTGGGGAGTTGACAAAAGGCAGGAGAAATAAGGCAGATAGATGATGGGGAAGGAGAGATAAGGAAAAGTTGGGGACAGGAGATTAGTAGATGACAGGACAAAAGAGGGAGCAGTAAAAGATTATATATATGCTATAAATATTCATTCTGTGGCTGTTTTCTCATTTTGAAATTGAGCCTTGTCAGCAGTCTGTGAACTGACAGTGACATGAGTCTACACAGATAATGAAACTAATGTTAACAGACATCAATGTTAACAAACTGAACTTGTTGGAAACAATAACTGGAGGCGAATTGGTAACAAGCTAGATGTTGTGAGGACACTTTGGGAGTGAGAAGCAGTGTGGAGGCACAAAAAAAGAGCATCAAAGTCTGAAGAGAATGGCACAGCTGGAAGTGGCCAGGGGGATCTGGCCGAAAGTCAACGCTCAGGGAAAGAGCGAGATGGACATACAATCAGACTGTACTACAGGGAAAGAGCGAGATGGACATACAATCAGACTTTACTACAGGGAAAGAGCGAGATGGACATACAATCAGACTGTACTACAGGGAAAGAGCGAGATGGACATACAATCAGACTTTACTACAGGGAAAGAGCGAGATGGACATACAATCAGACTGTACTACAGGGAAAGGGCGAGATGGACATACAATGAGACTGTACTACAGGGAAAGGGCGAGATGGACATACAATCAGACTGTACTATAGGTACTGGAATTCTGGGCTTTCTGCTGAAGATGGGGGTAGTGCTTGTGGGAATGTCCCATATGCTATGTTGTCAGTTCTTTACTCGTAGCTGTAGAGTGAACAGTACGGTATTTGCAGGTTTTGGTAGTGAAATGGTAATGGTTAGTTGATTTGATTGTTGGTTAAATTTGTATGTTGACAGTGGTTGGTTGAATTGATTGTGGTTAGTAGTTGTTGGTTGACCTGTTTGAATTCATTGAGTTGTCTGGTCAAGAAGAGGATAGTGTGAGTGATTTCTAGATATGTGTATCTCACCTGTCGCACTTGGAGCAGGGAAACACTGCCTCTCCTGATTGGTCCCTCAGTGGACTGGGAGTGTCTCTTTGGTCCCTCACTGGACTGGGAGTTCCTCTGGACTTTGCTGCTTTTCTGTGCCAGGTCAAATGAGACTGTTGGCTTCTTTTGGAGGTAAAGACCTGGAGACATCAAAGACAACCAAACTTCACTAGTGAAAAAACCTCAGTAACAAACATTTCATTGGCAAATGATGCACACTCACACAACAATGTTAGGGATGCATCCCCTAATACCATAACACAACACAGAATACAGACAATAACAGTAAAGATTCCTTACCAAAAAATCTCAGTGGTTGACAATGTATAAGTAATTTGCTGTGATTTGTAAAGAGTTAATGAAGCCAGGGCTGGGTGAAGCAAAGGTAACACACGGGCATTCATGTCTGTGTTGACAGGTTAGAGGGGTAAACATTTGGAGCCATTAGAAGAGAGTGGAGCATGAGCCACTGGGGAAAGCATGAGCCACTGGGGGGAAAATGTGCCACTGGGGGGGAAAATGTGCCACTACAGAAAACATGAGCCACTGGGGAAAACATGTGTCACTGGGAAAAACATGAGCCACTGAGAAAAACATGTGTCACTGAGAAAAACATGTGTCACTGGGGAAAACGTGCCACTGGGGAAAACATGATCCATGCATAGACAGTGCTGAGGAACTTTGTGTTAGTTGACCAATGTGGAAATGTGATGGGGAGTTGTCGGAGGCTGATTAATGGGATGCCGACCGTCTAGAAAGAAATGGCAAACTACTGGACATAAATTTGCCTAGAAAAACCACAACAGTTGGATGACCATTCTTTACTCCAATGATAATCCCCATCAGCTTGTGCCGTGCCAAAGAAAGTGGACAGCCATCTGTGTGTAAGTGTGGAGGACAGACATTTGTGTGTAAGTGTGGAGGACAGACATTTGTAGACATCCATAGACATATCTCCTAGATACTTGGCCAGCCTTCTGTGCATCCCCCGACCGCACGTGTCAGACATCCCATTTGTGCCAACATCTATAATCTTATAATCTATAACTCTACATTTATAATCTTTTTCTTCAAAAAATTCCTAATTCAGAGCTTTCCAAGATTATGCAAAATTCTATTTGTCTAAAATGTGTCACCAGAATAAAATGTTTGGGAAGCTCTATCCTAATTAGTCATATTTGAACAAGATAATAAACACCTCTGATACATATACAAGAAACTGACCATAAACAACCAACACTTACCTTACGACAATCCTCAAATGAGCACATGAAAAGTGTAATAGGAGTCACTGGTGGTATTGTGTGAGTCACTGGTGGTATCGTGGGAGTCACTGATGGTATAGTGGGAGTCAGTGGTGGTGTCCCGGGAGTTACTGGTGGTATTGTGGGAGTCACTGGTGGTAATGTGGGAGTCACTGATGGTATTGTGGGAGTCAGTGGTGGAGTGATGGAAGTTACTGGTGGAGAAAGTTCCTCAGTGGTCGAGCAGCTAAAATTGGTAGCAATGTTCAACACATCCTGAAACCACAACAAAGCAATACACATTGAGACGAGCATTCTAGGGAGTGTGAGTGAGAGAGTTAGAGAGAGGGAGAGTCATGGTGACAAAAAGCTTTTGTCAGAGCAGAGTTATGTAAGAGCAATGTACAGTAATATCACAGTGGTTTACAGTAATATCACAGTAGTTTACAGTAATATCACAGTTGTTTAGTGGTCAGGAGTGGTGTCTCGCCATTTATTGGTTGGGATTAACTCCTCTTTAGTGGTGTGGTGGTTAGGACTTATGCATAGCATTCAGGGGCTGAAATT